ATTACAGAGCAAAACTCTACAGGGGTGTGTGATAGGTTGGGAGCTATCGTGGTCCAGGCAGAAATGACTTCCGTGGGAAGGTGTTGCAGAAGAGGTGTCTCTGGAGACGTGCTTCATGAGGAGAGAAGCTGAAGTGTTGCAGCCAACACTCGCTGGGGTGGGTGAAACCTGGGAAGAGGGGGTGAAACCTGGGAAGAAATGGGGTGTGGCACTAGGGTTCATAAATAGTAGCTGTGGTTAGTCTTTTTTGTTTGTTTGTTTTCTGAGATGGAGTTTTGCTCTTGTCACCCAGGCTGGAGTGCAATGGCACAATACCGGCTCACGGCAACCTCTGCCTCCCAGATTCAAGCATTTCTCCTGTCTCAGCCCCCTGAATAGCTAGGATTACAGGCGCCCGCCACCACGCCCAGCTAATTTTTGTATTTTCAGGAGAAACGAAGTTTCACCATATTGGTCAGGCTGGTCTCGAACTCCTGACCTCAGGTGATCGATCCACCCACCTCAGCCTCCCAAAGTGCTGGGATTACAGGCATAAGCCATGTCACCCAGCCTGTGGTTAGTTTTTGTTACTATATGTTACAAATAATTTTTAAATTCTTGCCAGAAACAATGTGGCAGGCCACTGGAGGTCTGAATCCCTTCTTAAGAAACTGGTCTTTTTTTTTTTTTTTTTTTTTTTTGAGACAGCGTCTTGCCCTGTCCCCCAGGCTGGAGTGCAGTGGTGCGATCTCGGCTCACTACAAGCTCCACCTCCCGGGTTCACACCATTCTCTGCCTCAGCCTCCCAAGTAGCTGGGACTACAGGCGCCCGCCACTACGCCCAACAAATTTTTGTATTTTTAGTAGAGACGGGGTTTCACCGTGTTAGCCAGGATGGTCTCGATCTGACCTCATGATCCGCCCGTCTCGGCCTCCCAAAGCGCTGGGATTACAGGCGTGAGCCACCGCGCCCGGCAGAAACTGGTCATTTATTCCAGAAGGCTCATCAGCTGCTGCGGCAGTTAGATGCAGTAGTCCAGGAACGTGAGTGGGGATGTGTGTGGACAAGAACACTCACTGGAGACCCTTTTTTCTTGCCCCAGCAGTTGTTTCCTGTCAGTTATGGAGTGATGAGGTCATTCACTTCATTCTGGCCAGTCATTGATATAATTTGGCATTCTCTGCATGCCAGGCAAGAGTGACTGCTCTTCAGGCCAGATCTTCCTTCCAGATGGATGTTATCTCCTTTTTAGGAAGGAGGAAACAGAGAGACCTCGTAACTTGGCGTGGCCACACAGTGAGTCACGCAGTTAGTAAAGATGGAATTCATACCCAGGTCTGCCTGACTCTGGGATTATGAAGAATTACGTGGTTCCACCTCAGTCCCAAGGTCATCTTTGCTGTGCCAAAAGGGAAAACTGGAAATAGGGGTGGTCAGAGCAGGAGGTGCTTTTTTTGGTTTTGTTTTTCCTTTAAAACAACCTGCAGGAAAAAATCTAAATTAAACATTCGCAGGGATAGCGTTCTTCACAATTTTTTAAATCTTCAAAATGTAATTTTAATTACACAAATAACACAGGCTCATAAGCCCACTGGAGGAAAATCATAAAATACTAAAAAAAGTAAAAGGGGAAAAACGAAAGTCACCCATAATCCCACTAATCAGAGATGATCTTTTTTAATTATTATTATACTTTAAGTTCTAGGGTACATGTGCACAACGTGTAGGTTTGTTACGTATGTATACATGTGCCATGTTGGTGTGCTGCACCCATTAACTCATTATTGACATTAGGTATATCTCCTAATGCTATTCCTCCCCCCTCCCGCCCACAATAGGCCCCGGTGTGTGATGTTCCCCTTCCTGTGTCCAAGTGATCTCATTGTTCAATTCCCACCTATGAGTGAGAACATGCGGTGTTTGGTTTCAGAGATGATCATTTAATGATGACATTTTAGTGATGCCTTTTGATAAGCAAAATGGGATCATACTGTTCATATTACTGTGTAGCTTAGCCTTCTCTTAACAGACATCCTTCTAGGTTAATAAATATGGATCGCATTATTATCTTTATGGGCTGCAAGATAAATAATAACAATATTGAGCATCTAATGTAGATTATGTTCATCCTTTGTTCCCATCTCACTCAGAGCCTCAGTTTTCTCACCTGTAAAAGGGACGATTCATACTGTTATTTAACAAACTGAAATGAGGTAATGCTTGTAAACCTGTTAGCACAATGCCTGACGGTAAATGCTCAGCCCATTAAGAAGAGCTATTATTATTCATCTAATCAATAAATAAATAAATTCCAACATTTATTAAGTTCTTCCTCTGTACCAGGTATTATGCTAAGGGTTCATTTAATCCTGACACCAGGCTGGATTACAGGTGGCTCACACCTGTAATCCCAGCACTTTGGGAGGCTGAGGCAGGTGGATTGCTTGAGGTCATGAGTTCAAGACCAGCCTAACCAACATGGTGAAACCCTGTCTCTACTAAAAATACAAAAATTAGCCGGGTGTGGTGGTGTGCGCCTGTAGTCCCAGTTACTCAGGAGGCTGAGGCAGGGGAATCACTTGAACCTCGGAGGTGGAGGTTGCAGTGAGCCGAGATTACACCACTGCACTCCAGCCTGGGCGACAGAGTGAGACTCTATCTCAAAAAAAAAAAAAAAAAAAAAGGCCGGGCACGGTGGCTCACGCCTGGAATCCCAGCACTTTGGGAAGCCAAGGTGGGCAGATCACAAGGTCAGGAGATTGAGACCATCCTGGCTAACATGGTGAAACCTCGTCTCTACTAAAAAATACAAAAAATTAGCTGGGCGTGGTGGTGGGCACCTGTAGTCCCAGCTACTGGGGAGGCTGAGGCAGGAGAATGGTGTGAATCCAGGAGGCGGAGTTTGCAGTGAGCGGAGATCGCACTACTACACTCCAGCCTGGATGACAGTTAGATTCCGTCTCAAAAAAAAAAAAAAAATTCCTGACGCCAAACCAATGAGGTAAGTACTTTGTTATTCCCATTTTCTCAGATGGGAATAAAGTGAGTGACCAAAAGGCTGAATATCTTCTCCAAAGCCAAAGAGCCAGGAAATGGCGGAGATCCAATGGCCCACGCGATTTGGGTGTCAGGGCTCAAGCACCTCCCCGTGCAGCCACTGCCTCCGAGAAATAAAAGTACTCACCAGACACTTCCTCTGTGCTAGGTGCTTGAGTTTCTGCGCATGTTTCCAGGGGTGGGCATGAGACAAGCCAGCCAGTCCCACTACATCATGTAGTTAGAATGAGAGCCTCCAGCTCTTGTCATCCAGGATGTCATTGTGCCTATTTTAATTTTACTGAACCACACAGTGTGTTAAAAACAAAACAAAACAAAACAAAAATCCTTCCCTGCCCTGCTTGATCATGGATACTCCCTGATGATCTTGGGTTCACAAGATCTGTCTTCACATGGCTTTCCTTTACCAGTGAGGCTCTGAACTTCTTGGGAGCACTCCTTCCCAGATCTCTTTAATCAAGCCTTGTACCTGGTCCATGTGGGTACCAAATAAATTGATGAGCAAATGAATGAATGTATGAGTAAATAAGTAGGTGAATGACAATAAATGGATATGTAATAGAGAAGTGAGTGAATAAACAGAACCAGTGAGTAAATGAAGGAATGAATGAACTCCTTGGGGCAGGGCATGGGTTTGACTAACACCTAAGGACTGTTCTGAGGAGAACCTCTGACCTTTTCTGTGTGTGCACCGTCAGGCCAGCGTCTGCTCCTGGGTTGCCGATGGGAAATGACTTCCTTTCTTAGGACTGCCAAACGAAGAGGCACTTGGGTCCAGTCTGATTCTACAACCCCACTCTTCCAAACAGGGCTAAACAACTAGGGGGTAGTTTTGCAGAGCCAGGTGTTTGATTCACAACAATCCTCAAGTATTAGCGCACCTCAAAATCTTGGGGGGTAGGGGTGGGGGAAGAATGCTTGCTTTAAATTCAGATGTGTCCCATCCTACCACTGTCTGGTTTTGGGGGACGGTGGTGGAGCCTGAAAATCTGTAATTTGAACAGGCTTCTCAGTGATTCTGAAGAAGCCGCTCTACAGACAGCATTTGGAGCCTCATGATGTTTAAAACAAGGGACAGGCAGGGCACGGTGACTAAAGCCTGTAATCTTATCACTTTGGGAGGCTGAGGCAGGAGGATCACTTGAATCCAGGAGTCCAAGACCAGCCTGGGCAACATAGTGAAACTCCACCTCTGCAAAAAATAAAAAATTAGCCAAGCTGGGCGAGGTGGCTCACGCCTGTAATCCCTGCACTTTGGGAGGCCGAGGCGGGTGGATCACAAGGTCAGGAGATTGAGACCATCTGGCTAACACGGTGAAACCCCGTCTCTACTAAAAATACAAAAAATTAGCCGGGTGTGGTGGCGGGCACCTGTAGTCCCATCTGCTGGGGAGGCTGAGGCAGCAGAATGGCGTGAACCCAGGAGGCAGAGCTTTCAGTGAGCCGAGATCACGCCACTGCACTCCAGCCTGGGCAACAGAGTGAGACGTTGTCTCAAAAAAAATAAAAAATTAGCCAAGTGTGGTGGCGTACATCTGTAGTCCTAGCTACTTGGGAGGCTGAGGCAGGAGGATCGCTTGAGCCCGGGAGGCTGAGGCTGCAGTGAGCTGTGTTTGCAGCACTACACCCCAGCCTGAGTGACAGAGTGAAACCCTATCTCAAAATATAAAATAAAAAAATAAATAAAACACCGGACAATATATACGCTTAGACGACCTCTGCAGCCTCCTGTGCGGAGAAAAACGGGGGCAAAGAGAGTTTGCGGTAGGTGAGAGACTACTGATAGGTGTGCCTATTAAAAGAACACCAGTAAGCCTCCACTGCAGGCCCTACACAAGTAGGCCCTTGTCCTCACTGGCATCGCGCTCCCGGGGACCCTAGGAACGAGACACTGCGATTACACCCCAAGCCGCATGGGGCGCCATTCTGCTTCGCTCTTACGGAAACGGGGCTTCGATGTCTTTCTGCGCTTGCGCGGCAAGGAAAGTCATTTCCGGTCCTGCGCACTCAGGGCCTGAGGCCCTGGTGGCCGGGTGAGTGAGTGGAGGCTGGAGTTTTCTCGGATTCTGAAGCCCACTGCCCCGTTAGACCCTGCCCTATGTGTGGCGGGGACACGTGTCACCCCACAGCTCTCTGCGTGATCTCCCGACCACTCATTCCTGCCTAACCCTAGTATTCCTTCCTTAGCCTCAAGGTCCCAGTCCACCCTCTCCCCACGACCCCCTTAGTCAGGCATACGACCTCCACACGTCTCACTTTGTGTAATAGACCACTCGCATCTCTCTCTCCTCCCTTAGTTGCTTTTTCAGAGGTCACCTCCCTCGTAGAGCCTTTGTGCGGGGATGAGGAGGAGTGTCTTGGGTCGAGAACAGGCCCCTGTAACCCACTGAGCGCCCCTTCATTCCATCTCTCTCCGCCCTTTGTAGAGGGTCACCATGAAGTTCAATCCCTTCGTGACGTCGCACCGCAGCAAAAACCGCAAACGTCACTTCAATGCCCCCTCACACGTGCGCAGGAAGATCATGTCATCCCCGCTCTTCAAGGAGCGGCGGCAGAAGTACAATGTCCGCTCCATGCCCATCCGCAAGGACGACGAGGTCCAGGTACGTCTCCCTCCGGCTCTAGTGGCGCTCGGACACCTTTGCCTGAGAATGTCATGTGTTCTTGGTCATGGAGCAGTCACAGACTCACGTGCCTCAGGACTCTGGCAAATAGTGTGACCCTTCAGATGTGTTAGGCCAGAGATAGGGTTCAGAGGCACCAGAGAGTGCCTGCGTTGCTTTAGAGCATTTAACTATTCAATAGTTATAGAAAAATTTAATAAAACAGTATGTCAGCCAAGCAAAATCCTGCCTTTTTGTTTGTTTTGTAGACATAGGGTCTTGCTATGTTGCCCAGGCTGGTCTCAGAACTCTTGACCTCAAGTGATCCTCCCACCTCAGCCTCCCAAAGCACTGAGATTACAGGTGTGAGCCACCGTGCCCCGCCAAAAATGCTTTTGATTTAAACTTCTGGCTGCTAGTTTGCCAAGTGTTGTTGCCCAAGGTGGCTTGTTGAAGCAGACTTTGTAGGGGAAAGTGTTGCAGTGAGAGTAGTGTTCTAGTGTATTTGGGTGTAGTGGGATTGATGGACAGGGATTTGTGGGAGCTGGCCATGTGATAGCATTGGATTTGGCAGGAGAAATGGTCAAGATGCAGCGAGTCACTCTTTCATAATTTCTAAAAGAGTGGCCCAGTGAGAACGTGCAAGCCTTCTGTTCTCTGTGATGGGAGCTTAGAATGCATGAAGGGGGAAGGGAGCTGGCCATGAGTGAAATAAGCAGGGGCTGGATTCATTCCTCAAAGGAGTATTTATGGAGCACTTACCAGACAATGTTCTAGAACAAGATTGACAAGGCTCGTGTTCTCATGGAGGTCATGTTTTAGAGCAGGGTTTCCTAGCCTCAGTGCTATTGATATCTTGGACTGGATAATTGTCCGGGGGTGCTGAGGGGCTCTCCTGTGCATTGTAGAATGTTTAGCAGCATCCCTGGCCTCTCCCCACTAGATGCCAGTGGCATTCCCTCCGTTCACAGTTGTGACAAGCAAAAACATTTCCAGATATTGCCAAATGCTCCCTGGGGGGCAAAATCAACTCTTCCCTCACTCAGTTAAGAACTATTGTCTTAAAGAATGAAATGACATAAGGTGATGAGGCCTGGTGTATCATCTGAGACACTGGGACTCTTTAAAGCTTTGGGGATATGTTAAGGAGGAAAAAATGTGGAGTTAAGCTGGGAGTGTGACAGGAAGAGTGGAAAAAGTAGTTCGGAGGTATGATCAGCAGTTTCAACCCCCTCTGCCTTGGATCCTTCCCATCAGACATGTTCTAGAATGGGGGAATTGCAAATACTTATAGGGGATAGGTAGGGATAGCTCTCACTTCCCTGAATAAGGGAAGTGAGCTGAAAAGAAAATGGCAAACTGGAAAGCTCAAGCCTCACATATAAGATGTGATCATCTACCTTTAGCCCATGGGTGCCTGGGGGAAATGCAGGCCCATTGTTAAATTCTTGGATTTTCAAAGAGAGCTGGAAAATTTGGATTCACTTCCCTAGCCCCACATTTCCTTCCAGCTATTACTCTGTTCTCTATTCATAACCAGCCTCCTCAAGAGAGCTGTCTCCACTTCCTCATCTCCCATTCACTCTTGGATACTCTTCAGTCTATTCCCTGTGCCCACTGCATTATAGAACCTACTTTGGCATAGATCACCAATAACATCTTCGTGACTGAATCCAATGGACACATCTAGCATCTCTTTCTGCTCTGTGTTCTCTATGTAGGTAGAGAATAGGTAATAATCCATTCTTAGAGCTTTAAATGTCTGCTCTGTGCTAACAGCTCCCTCTTTTATATCCCAGTCCAGACCACTTTAGACAACCTATACATCTGACTACCTACAACACAGACCTATAGATCGGACTACCTACAGAACATCTCTATTTAGGTAGCCCATTGACATTTCAAGCTTCTTATCCAAGAGTACTCTTGATCCTAACACCCTCTGCCTCCGGAATCCAACTCTCCCATCTTCCACATCTCCAGTAAGTACCATTTGTATCTCCCCAGTTGCATATGCCCCTAAACGTTTGTTATCTTTAACAATGCTCCTTAACCCCCTCTTGTAATCCACCATCAAGGCTTGTTGATTCTACCTGCAAAGTAAGTCTTGAACCTATTTCCAGACCAGTTCAAGGCAGCATTGCAGCTCCCTCTCTTACCTTTGTCCATTTTCCAGAGTGGTATTATTTGCAAATCAGGTCCTATTTAAAACCTTTGACAGGCTGGGCATGATGGCTCACGCCTGTAATCCTAGCAGTTTGGGAGGCCAAGGCAGGTGGATCACCTGAGGTCAGGAGTTCGAAACCAGCCTGGCCAACATGGTGAAACCCCATCTCTACTAAAAATACAAAAATTAGCTGGGCGTGGTGGCAGGCACCTGTAATCCCAGCTACTGGGGAGGCTGAGGCATGAGAATCGCTTGAACCCGGGAGGCAGAGGTTGCAGTGAACCAAGATTGTTCCGTCGCACTCCAGCCTGGGTGAGAGTGAGACTCTGTCTCAAAAAAAAAAAAAAAAAAAAAACGGCCAGGCACAGTGGCTCACACCTGTAATCCCAGCACTTTGGCAGGCCAAGGTGAGCAGATCACGAGGTCAGGAGATTGAGACCATCCTGGCTAACACGGTAAAACCCGTCTCTACTAAAAATATAAAAAATTAGCCAAGTGTGGTGGCGGGCGCCTGTAGTCCCAACTACCTGGGAGACTGAGGCAGGAGAATGGCGTGAACCCGGGAGGCAGAGCTTGCAGTGAGCTGAGATCGCGCCACTGCATTCCAGTCTGGGTGACGAGCAAGACTCCATCTCAAAAAAAAAAAAAAAAAACTTTGGCAGTTTTATATCTGCCAAAACTGACCTGTACATTTTACTATATGTAAATGATGCCTCAGTTAAAAATAAAACGATTTCAAATTGTGTTTATTGCTGTGAAGAAAATATAAAGGATGCTACCATATTGATTAAAGGACCTGAAAAGGCTTTTCTGAGGAACTAATAAATTTAAGAGAAGACCTGAAAAGTGAGGAGTTAGCCAGGTGCTTACCAGTGGTGCCTGATGTGCTTATAAAATCTAAAATCATGACCAGGCGCGGTGGCTCACGCCTGTAATACCAACACTTTGGGAGGTTGAGGTGGGTGAATCATCTGAGGTCCGGAGTTTGAGACCAGCCTGGCCAACATGGTGAAACCCCGTCTCTACTAGAAATACAAAAATTAGCCAGCTGTGGTGGCACACGCCTGTAATCCCAACTACTCAGGAGGCTGAGGCAGGGGAATCACTTTAACCTGGGAGGTGGAGGTTGCAGAGAGCCAAGATTGCGCCACTGTACTCCAGCCTGGGGGACAGAGCGAGACTCCGTCTCAAAAAAAAAAAAAAAAGAAATCCTGGCTCCACACCTACACATTTACCTGTAGTTCCACCCCTCTTATTTTCTTTCCCTTCTGTTACAATAAAAGAAATATCCCAGGCCTGGTGCAGGGGCTCATGCCTGTAATCTCAGCACTTTGAGAGGCCAAGACGGGTGGATCACTTGAGGTCAGGAGTTCGAGACCAGCCTGGCCAACATGGCGAAATTCTGTCTCTACTAAAAATACAAAAATTAGCTTGACATGATGGCACACGCCTGTAATCCCAGCTACAAGGGAGGCTGAGGCAATGAGATATCACTTGAACCCAGAAGGCGGGGGTTGCAGTGAGCCAAGATCACACCACTGTACTCCAGCATGGGTAACACAGCAAGTCTCTGTCTCAAAAACACAAAAAAAGAAATATCCCTATTTCTCCCTAAGCCTAATTCATCTGCCGCTGGGTGCTGCTCCATTCTTCTCTTGGAGCTTTTTTGGTCCCTTTTTTCTCTGTAGTTTCTTTTACCCTCTTGCTCCATACTTGTTCCTTCCCATCAGCATTTAAACACAATCATGTTTTCCCTTCTTTAAAAATAAAAAAAGTTCCCTTAGCTTTCCATCCCCCTCAAACATCTATCCCCTTCTCGTCTTCAGAGCCAAGCTCCTTTGGACTGTCTTTTCTCACCTTCACCTTCTCACCTGCTACACTCATCACCTTACTGTAAATGGCTTCCATCCCACCGCTCACTGAAGGCATTCCAGCCACAGCCACTGGTGATGACCTTGTTGTCAGATCTGTTAAATACCTTACCCTCTCTGTACTTGATGGTCCCACAGAATTTGGCATTCTTCTCTTGGCTGCTGTAATACCACACTTACATGGTTTCCCGTTCTCTCTGGCCACATTAATTTCTCACAAGCTCTTCCAAAATGCTGGCTTTTCTCACATGTGTATATTCTGCCCTTTTCTCTTACCATCAGCTCCTTGAGCAAAATGAAGCTTCTAATTGCCTCTCTGTGGATGACTCCCACGTCTCTATTGCTGGCCCAGTTGGCATTCCAGCTGTGTCTGAATTCTGTATTAGAATGTCCCCAGATGCCTCAAATTTAGCATGTTCCAAACTAAACTATTTCCTCCTAAAATATGGGGCTTCCCCTATGTTCCCTGCATCTGGCAAAGGCATTTCCATCTACCTGGTTGTCCAAGCCAGACTCTGAGTGTCATCCTTCCCTCTTCATCCTCACCTCTCCAGTCCAGTCGATCAGCCCGGCCTCTGTGTGTGGTGTTTAATACGCTCTTGCAGCTGGGCATGGTGGTTCACACCTGTAATCCCAGCACTTTGGGAGGCCGAGGCAGGCGGATCACTTGAGGTCAGGAGTTCGAGACCAGCCTGGCCAATATGGTGAAACCCCGTCTCTACTAAAAATACAAAAGTTAGCTGGGACTGCTGTCGTGTGCCTATAATCCCAGCTACTTGGGAGGCTGAGGCAGGAGAATCACTTGAACCTGAGAGGTGGAGGTTGCAGTGAGCCAAGATCATGCCATTACAGTCCAGCCTGGGGGACAGAGCGAGACTCTGTCTCAAAAAAACATAAAATAAAATAAGCTCTTGCTTCCAAGGAAACCCTAAACTAGTTGGTTTTTTAATAGAGTAGATTTTTAGTACAGTAAAACAGTCCGTGAGATTTTAAATTTTTTTCTGACTTTAAAATATTTGTATAAATGTAGAAATCTTGAAATTTAGAAGAATATAAATCTGTAATCCTACTTCCTGCCTAATGGCAGCTGTTACCAATATTTATATATATTTTATCCCACTGTGTCATGCGATATATATGAAATGTGTGTGTATATATACATATATGTATGTGTATATACATATATGTATGTATGTATATACATGTATGTATATATTACATATATATGTGCACATATGTAATATATATTATATGTATACACATACACACATACAGGTTGAGTATCTCAAATTCAGAATGCTCCAAAATCTGAAACTTTGAGTGTCAATGTGATGGTCAAAGGAAGTGGTCTTTGGAGCTTTTGGGATTTCAGATTTTCAGATTTGTGGTGCTTAGCTAGTAATGCAGATATTCCAAAATCCCAAAAACCCTAAATCCAAAACACTTCTGGGCTCAAGCATTTCGAATAAGGGATACTTGACGTATATATACATATAGTTCAGAGTGTATTCTATATGTAGTTTTATATTCTCCTTTTTTCTCTAAAGCTCATATCGCACATTTCTGTGGGATTCAGGTAAAAAAATCTCCACTGAGCCATAACACAACACAGATTTATACCAGAAAAGTAGCTAATTTTTGACTACCAGGATTAAGCTGCTTTTGTGCAAAGTTATATGTTTAGCCCATGTGTTCCTGATGGTTAGCTTCTTCATTATGATCATGCATTACAAATGGAGGGGGATTCTCTTTTGTATTTTCTCTTAGGTAGTTCGAGGACACTACAAAGGTCAGCAAATTGGCAAGGTAGTCCAGGTGTACAGAAAGAAATATGTCATCTACATCGAGCGGGTGCAGCGTGAGAAGGCCAACGGCACAACCGTCCATGTGGGCATTCACCCAGGCAAGGTATGGTCAAGGACTGAGTGGCAATAGCAGCCATGGAGTGTGTCCATACTGTTAGAAGTTAGTGGTGTTCGGTACTCCCTGCACAGGTGGCTGAGGCAGGCCACGTGGACTTGATTGATTTAGTAGCTTTGTGATATCATCAAGGATCCAGATTTTTCTTCTCTTTTCTATTTTGCCTTTCTTGGTGATGGTGTCTTTTTTTTTTTTTTTTTTCCCTGAGACGGACTCTCGCTCTGTCACCAGGCTGGAATGTGGTGGCACGATCTCGGCTCACTGCAACCTCCGCCTCCTGGGTTCAAGTGATTCTCCTGCCTCAGCCTCCCGAGTAGCTGGGACTACAGGCACCCACCCTACGCCCGGCTAATTTTTATATTTTTAGCAGAGATGGGGTTTCACCATGTTAGCCAGCATGGTCTCGATCTCTTGATCTCGTGATCCACCTGCCTTGGCCTCCCAAAGTACTGGGATTACAGGCGTGCACCACCGCGCCCAGCTGATGGCTGTCTAAGCTGGTTGCAAGAGGCTTCCAAGTGTTGCAGGCATCACTTCCTCCAACGTATAATATTCAGAGGGATAAGAGAGAATATATCTTCCTGTAGCCCTTATGCCTACCTAGTGGAACTGCTACTTCTCCTTTGTGTTCCTATTTTATATTGTGTTATAGGATCTGTTTTCCTTCCAGAGTTTCAGTTCCTTAAAAGTTTAATAACTGGCCGGGTGCGGTGGCTCATGCCTGTAATCCCAGCACTTTGGGAGGCCGAGGCGGGTGGATCACGAGGTCAGGAGACCATCCTAACACGGTGAAACCCCGTCTCTACTAAAAATACAAAAAAATTGGCCGGGTATGGTGGCGGGCGCCTGTAGTCCCAGCTACTCGGGAGGCTGAGTCAGGAAAATAGCGCAAACCCGGGAGGCGGAGCTTGCAGTGAGCCGAGATCACACCACTGCACTCCAGCCTGGGCGACACAGCAAGACTCTGTCTCAAAAAAAAAAAAAAAAAAAAAAAAAAACACAGGCTGAATGGCTAAGGTCTTACTTAACTTAGGATGTCTATATTGCTGAATAGCTGGTGGCGATGTGGCAATAAAGATCTGTTTTCTCACTCCCAACAGGTGATTATCACCAGGCTAAAACTGGACAAGGATCGGAAAAAAAATTCTTGAACGCAAAGCCAAGTCTCGGCAAGTCGGAAAAGAGAAAGGCAAATATAAGGAAGAACTTATTGAGAAAATGCAGGAATAAATAGAACCTGTTGTGCAACCACGGTTTAACCGGAGATTTTGAGGCTGGTGTTTCTTTCGAACTTTTCAGAATGTCTCTGGAATATTTCATTTCCTGTTTTGTTAGCTGTGGTTCTGTAAGTCGACTTTTGCAATTTTAATTAATAATTTTATGATTAAAAATGGGAAATGCTTCCTAATTTCAAATAGTATTTGCATTGTTTTATAAATAAATTCTACTTACTGGCCAGGCGCAGTGGCTCATACTTGTAATCCCAGCACTTTGGGAGGCCGAGGCGGGTGGATCACAAGGTCAGGAGACCGAGACCATCCTGACCATTTATTATTCATAAATAAATAAATAAATAAATAAATAAATAAAATTCCACTTACTATCAATTCCCCTTTGCCAGTCTTTTCCTATTTAATGTGTGGAATAGCAAAATCGCAGGGATAGGGTGAAATGGCCCTCCTCTTGGGGACCCTTGTGCCGATAGAGTAGAAAGGGCAGCGCTCTAGTCCTGAAAAAAAAAGTATAGCTATAGAATATATATAGATATAGAATATATAAAAATATAGAATACATATATATTCCATATCTATAGAAATATATATACATATAAAATAGAATATATATGTATTTCTACATCTATATAGAAATACATACAGATAGATAGAGAGAGAGAGAGAGACAGGTTTCATCATCTTGCCCAGGCTGGTCTTGAGCTCCTAGGCTCAAATGATCCTCCTGGGTGCCTCTCAAAGTGTTGGGATTACAGGCATGAGCCACGATGCTCTGGTCCTTGATGCAGGGATTTGCTCCACTCAGTAGCAGTGGTAATGTGCACTGGCACACTCAGGGCCCCACTGTCACATCGCAGGCCTGACAGATTGCTCTCTGGCCTCCTGACTTGTGTTTCCCCAGCTTTCTCTCCAAGTGCCAACTAAACCAAATCATGTAGCAGCTCCCTGACCAGGCTCATCTTCCCAAAGTTTTGACTTTGCAGTTGCCATTTTCATGTGACTAAAATGCCCCTTTTCCTCTGGAACTAACTTGAGAAACTGGCAGCCTACAGGAAAGATTTAACTGAGATACTGTTTTTCCCTATATTTTATAATTTTAAAAAATTTCCAACATTTAAAATGTGGGAGACTCCACAGAGAATCACCTGCTTCACCTGGCTGCATGGGGCTCTCCCTGTTTTGCAGTGTAAAGTGCAGCCGAGGGCTTAGTGGTTCCCTATCCCACCTGTGTTGCTTCCATACGCTTCTTGCCTGGCCTCCGCTGGCCTCTGCATTAGACTCCTGCTCTAACTTTCATTCTTCAAAATTTAGTTCCTTTGGCCAGGCACAGTGACTCATGCCTGTAATCTCAGAACTTTTGGACACTTGTGGGAGGATGGCTCGAGCCCAGGAGTTTAAGACCAGCCTGGTTAACTACTGAGACCCCACCGCTACAAAAAAATAATAATAATAGTAATAATAAATCATTTTTTTAATTAGAAAAAAAGATTTGGTTCCTTTGAGAGATATGTAGTGAATAAAGATTTTTTAAAAATGTATCTCCAGGGCCACATTCAAAATCCTCTGTCCCTATGGGAAAAAAAAAATTTTTTTTTTTTGCAGCCAGTAGCGCAGCTTAGTGAGAAAAGCATTATCACCAGCCATCACCAGCCATCGAGGTCTAATCCTAGCTCTGCCACTGAGCCGTCATCAGCCTTTGAGCAAGTTACTCATCTCTGGACTTGCAAACAGATGATAATACCTGCTCTGCCTTCCTATCTCATCAAAAATGTAAAGATAAAATGGCGGCCGGGCGCGGTGGCTCAAGCCTGTAATCCCAGCACTCTGGGAGGCCGAGGCGGGCGGATCACGAGGTCAGGAGATCGAGACCATCCTGGCTAACACGGTGAAACCCCGTCTCTACTAAAAAAAAATACAAAAAACTAGCCGGGCGAGGTGGCGGGCGCCTGTAGTCCCAGCTATTCGGGAGGCTGAGGCAGGAGAATGGCGTAAACCCGGGAGGCGGAGCTTGCAGTGAGCTGAGATCCGGCCACTGCACTCCAGCCCCCGCGACAGAGCGAGACTCTGTCTCAAAAAAAAAAAATAAATAAAATGGCAAAAAACGGAGTCTCCCTCTTGCTTAGACTGGAGTGTGGTGTCACTATCTCCACTCACTGCAACCTCTACCTGCTGGGTTCAAGTGAACCTCCTGCTTCAGCCTCTCAAGTAGCTGGGATTACAGGCATGCACCACCATGGGGTTTCACCATGTTGGTTAGGTTGGTCTCGAACTCCTGACCTCAAGTGATCTGCCCGCCTCAGCCTCCCAAAGTGCTGCGATTATAGGCATGAGCCACTGCACCTGTCCTAAAAAAAAAAAAAAATTGTAAGAGAGGGTCTTGCTCTGTCACCCAGTTTGGAGTTCAGTGGTATGATCTCAGCTCACTGCAGCTTGACAGCCCAGGCTCAAGTGATCCTCCCACCTCAGCCTCCCAAGTAGCTGGGACTACAGGCATGTGCCACCACACCCAGCTAATATTTAAAATTTTTTATAGAGATGGGAGTCTCAGTATGTTACCCAGGCTAGTCTCAAATTCCTGGCCTCAAGTGATTCTCCTTCCTTGGCCTCCCAAAGTGCTGGAATTAGACATGAGCCACCATGACTAGCCTAAAAAATAATAATGTATTGATTAAAATGTATCAAACAGCCTTTTATGACTTTCTAGTAGCAGCTTATCTGACACACTAGAGTTTCTTAATAAATGTTAATTGAATCAGTGTTGTTTCCCATTTTGACTGATGAAGAAAATGAACTTAGGTTAACTGTCCAAATCATAGCATAAGAAATGAAGCCAAGATTTGAACCTGAGCCTGACTGCATCAAAGGCCATTCACTTCCCACATTAGCCACTTATTTTTAGTCTTCCTTCCTTCACTCTGTCAGCCTTTCACTGGAGTCTGGTAAGAGACTGGACATTTATGTGGAACAGACAAGAACCTATGTGTTTGCAGCCAGTAGCGCTACTTAGTGAGAAAAGCATTATCACCAGCCATCGAGGTCTAATCCTTGCTCTGCCACTGGGCAGTCATCAGCCTTTGAGCAAATTACTCATCTCTGGACTTCCAAACGGATGATAATACCTGCTCTGCCTTCCTATCTCATCAGAAATGCAAAGATAAAATGGCAAGATCAGATGGGCCGTTTTTGAGTACTCTTTGAAAGCTGTGAGTATACAAATGTTAATTTCACTATCACTGTTCAGTTTATTTGTATGTACAATTCTGACATTCACTCTGCACTCAAAGAGGCAATTATTTTTCACAAAAGAAAATAGTGAGTTTGGTGGGGCGCAGTGGCTCACACCTGTAATCCCAGCACTTTGGGAGGCCGAGGCGGGTGGATCACTTGAGGTCAGGAGATCGAGACCATCCTGGCTAATATGGTGAAACCCCGTCTCTACTAAAAATACAAAAAAATTAGCCGGGCATGGTGGTGGGCACCTATAGTCCCAGCTACTTGGGAGGCTGAGGCAGGAGAATCATGTGAACCCAGGAGGCAGAGTCAAGATCACGCCACTGCACTCCAGCCTGGGCGACAGAGCACAACTCTGTCTCAAAAAAAAAAAAAAAAAAAAAAATCAGTGAGTTCAAAAACCACAAAACTCAAGATGTGTTCTCTGACTTGGCATTGATACATTGAACTCATTGACACAAGGTAGACAGATACTGTCCTGTCCCTGGAGTCAGACAGATTTGGGTTCAAATCCTGCTCTTGTCCCTGGGAGGTCATTTTTCTGATTCTCTGTTTTTCTATTTATGTAAAAAGCTACCAGGCACGGTGGCTCACACTTGTAATCCCAGCACTTTGGGAGCCCGAGGTGGGAGGATCGCTGGAGCCCAGGAGTTTTGAGACCAGCCTGTGTAGCATAGTGAGACCCTATATCGCCAAAAAAATTTAAAAACTAGCCAGGTGTGGTGGCCCATGCCTGTAGTCCCAGCTACCCAGGAGGCTGAGGTGGGGAGGATTGTTTGAGTCCGGAAGGTCAAGATTGCAATAAGCCACGATGACACCATTGCACTCCAGCCCAGGCAACAGAGCGGAACCCTGCCTCAAAAATAAAATAATGAAACAGAGTAGGTGTCCATCATACAGCAGCTGTATAATCATTAACATGCTGAGCTTTGTATCTAATGAATATAATGAGTAGGTTAACTAATAAATTCTGAAATTTATATTTTCTAATTTGATTCTTGTCTTTGTTCTCAACCAATACATATTTTAGGACTCCAAGAGTTGTATGAAAGTCAGATTTCATACTAAACTCACAGCTTCTTACTCTGTAGTCTGATACCTGGTCTGAGCTCCAGGCTCCAGCCATTACTTTCATTAGTAAATGTAAGTTATGATATCGTCTAGGAATCAGACTTGGCTTGTTTTCAGCAATTTATTCCAACAAAAATGACCAATAAGAGCTTTGAGAGCTGTAATCCCCCTGTAGGTATCCAAATCATACCACACTGCTTATACTGAGCCAGGTTTATAATAATAATGCGTGATCACGAGCAGGAACTAGGCCTCAAGTTGAGTTCTAATCTTAGCTCTGTCAGTTCCTAGCTGTGTGACCTTGGACAAACTGCTTAACCTCTCTGGACCTCAGGTTTGTCATTTATAAAATGGAGATAAAATTAGTACTTCATAGAGTTGTCAGACTTATTACTTGAGATAACTGTGCATAAAGCACAGAGTGCTCAGGAAGTTGTAACTATTGTGTCTTAAAGGAGATTGGCAATGGAGTTCTTTCACAGGAACAGAAGGAAAAGTTTTTCTCTAGGGAGTTGAGACAAATACTGATTCTTGAAAAAAGGGAAGAGTTTAAGGGCAACAGTGATGTGTTTGGGCTGCTGCAGGAAATGAGGATTGGAGAATGCCAGATGGGTGGGCCTGCCTAACAAAGTTCAGGCCATGGGGTATTAGCTTGTTTTCTGGAATGAATGAATTATACAGTTTTCTACTGACCTTTTCATCACATTTGCAGATGTCCATTCCCTTGAGTGGTTCCCTTCTGCTATGCTGGGAAGATGCCAAACTTTTAAACTTCATATAACTGCTTTTGAATATCTGCTTTCACATTGCATAGGCATGAGATGTTTGGCCACATAATTTCTTTTTTTTTTTTTTTTCTCACACAAGGTTTCTCCATGTCGCCTAG